AGCCTGACAGATTTACCATTGCTAGGAAGGAAGTACACATGGTACCAGCCAAATGGACAATGTATGAGTCGTTTGGATAGGTTCTTGTTCAATGATGATTGGATGACAAAATGGCCTGATTTAAAGCAATGGGGACTTGCTAGATCTCTGTCGGATCATTGCCTGATACTGGTAAAAAATGAGACACGGAATTGGGGGCCAAAACCATTCAAGTTCTTCAATGCCTGGCTACATACTCCTGGATTTAGAGACATGGTTGCAGCAAAATGGAAAGAATTTAAAGTTCAAGGATGGGGAGGTTTCATTGTTAAGGAGAAATTAAAGTTGATGAAGGACTTTCTTAGGGAATGGTCTAAGTCTTCTTTGCAAGATGTGGATAGAAAGATCGAGGAGGCCAGAAAGGAGATAAACAGAATCGATAGAAAAGGAGAAACTTGCAGCTTAACAGATGATGAACTCATGACCAGGAGCAAACATTATGCTAAGTTGTTAAAGAATATGCAGCTGAAAGAAGAGATGGCCCAACAGAAAGCGAGAAAGAACTGGTTAAAAACAGGGGATGCAAACACCAGTTATTTCCATAAGAGCATCAAAGCAAGATGGCGCAGGAATGAAATTAACATAATATCAGTAAAAGGTAGAGAATTGAAGCAAGTGGATGAGATAAAACAAGGCATAATGGAGTATTTCCAGAAATTATTCACAGATGATGGATGGTCAAGACCAACTCTACAGGGGTTAACTTTCAGAACCATTTTGGACAATGATAGAAGCATGCTTACCCAACCATTCACAGAAGAAGAAGTCAAAGAGGCGGTATGGAACTGTGACAGCACTAAAGCGCCAGGGCCAGATGGTTTTAATTTTGGATTCTTAAAGGCTCAATGGGAGGTGACTAAAGAAGATGTCTTGAAGTTCCTTATGGATTTTCACAAAAATGGAAGACTGGTAAGGGGTTCTAATGCATCATTTATTGTTTTGATACCAAAAAAAGAGAACCCTCAAGGTATCGAGGAGTATAGGCCTATCTCCTTAATTGGTTGCATCTATAAAATCCTTGCTAAATTACTAGCAAATAGACTCAGCAAGGTATTGAATGGAATCATAGGTGAAAATCAATCTGCATTCATTGAGGGAAGACAATTGGTTGATGGGGTGGTAGTGGCGAACGAAGCAATTGACGGAGTGAGGAAAAGGAAATCCCAGTGCTTTGTCTTCAAAATTGACTTTGAAAAGGCATATGACAATGTCAATTGGTCATTTCTTGATTACATGATGGAGAAAATGGGTTTTGATGCAGTTTGGAAAAGATGGATCTCAGAGTGTTTGAAGTCCAATACTGTATCTGTTCTAGTAAATGGAAGTGCTACCAAAGAGTTCTCAATGTCTAGAGGACTCCGGCAAGGTGACCCACTATCCCCATTCCTATTCTTAATTGTGGCTGAAGCTTTGAATGGATTAATTGTAAAAGCTGTGTCAAAAGGATTGTTGCAAGGAGTCAGAATTGGAGAAGGGGAGTTACAAGTTAGCCACCTACAGTTTGCAGATGACACGATATTTATGGGTGAAGCAACTGAGAAGAACATCTGGACAGTTAAATGCATCATGAGAGCATTTGAATTAGTATCGGGCCTGAAAGTAAATTACAAAAAGAGTTCTTTGATCGGAGTCAATACTGATGAAGAATGGGTCAATAAAATGGCATGGATATTGAATTGTAAAACGGATTCCCTCCCCTGCAAATACCTGGGAATGCCATTGGGTGCAAATTCGAGGAGAGTAGACACATGGAAACCTTTGATTGAAACATTCAGAAGAAAGTTATCTGTATGGAAAGGACGGTTCTTATCTCTTGGCGGAAGGATCACCCTCATTAATTCTGTGTTGTCAAGTCTTCCCGTGTTCCAAATGTCGGTCTATCTGCTCCCTAAAAAGGTAATCCACGAAATTGATAAAATTAGACATAATTTCTTATGGGGAGGAGTTGAGGAGGGTAGGAAAATTGCATGGGTTTCTTGGGATAGGGTATGTTGCAATAAAAAAGAGGGAGGATTAGGGATAAAAAAT